AATCTTATCTAACTTAACTCTTTATAGACTTCAATTCAATATCTTCTTCTTCTTCTTTATCTAATTCGTCCTCCATATTGTCCGATACAAAATCATCATTTTCGGGCTTTCTTATTTCATTTCTTATACATAACTGATACCTAAATCAGTGCGGTGTGCGGAGAAATTGAGAGGTTTTGCGCTGTTCTTCCGTCTACTCAGTTCTCTAGAGTTTTTGAAGTTTGAAGGGATAGTGGGCTACTAAGTCTGGGCTATGAGTTTTATTTTAAAAAAAAAAAGGGAAAAATTGGGCTCCCTTAAAATCTGGGCCTGAGACGGAAGCGCGCATAGGTGTCGCCTAGGAAGGCCTAGGCGAGCATTAAGTGGTCAACATTGTCGTTGACAGCTTAATTCCCGCTTAGGCTCAAGGCGAAAGCGTGCATAGGCATCGCCTAGGAACGCCTAGATGAGCATTAAGCGGTCAACATTGTCGTTGACCGCTTAATTCTCGCTTAGGCTCAAAGCGAAGCGTTTTCATCACGCTTACTGCTTGTTGCCCAAGCGCGTTTTTTAGAACACAACTGATTTGTATATATCAAAGTCAACGCACCAATACTGAAATAGAAGTTATTGACTTTGAATTTTTTTCTTTTTCTTTTCTTTATTTGTATACGGGTTAATTACTCGAAGGGTTATTGAACTTTGTCAAGTGTTATTACTTAATAACTGAATATAAAAATGTATTTCAATGATTGCTGAATTTCGTCAAGTGTTACTATTTCATAACTGAACTTAAAAATGTATCACAATGATCATTGAATTATGCACCGTGTTATCCATCTATCACTTAGATAGGAAAATTCATTAGGTTCAACAAATGATGTCGACTTAAGTGATGGATGGGTAATACGGTACAAAGTTCAGTGATCATTGATATATATTTTTAAGTTCAATTATAAAGTAGTAACACTTGACAAAGTTCAATGACCATTGAGATACATTTTTAAGTTCAGTTATTAAGTAATAACAGTTTTTTCCCCTCAAATCGACCTTTGTGAAAAAAAAAACTAAAAAAAATGAAGGAAAAAAAAGATGAAAAATCAAATCGACCTCAGTTACTTTGGCACTAATTCAAACTTTTTTTTTTGTACTTTTAATGTATTTTTTCTCCGTCGATTTTATCAGTGTTCCTGTCATTTCTTTTTCAATCTTTTTATGCGAAATTCGAGATACGGTGAACTGATATCAATTGATCCAAAAATCAAACATACTTTTGGACAATTGCCAATGAAGAGGATGTGCTAGTCGGAGATTTAATGACTCTGCAAATCATTTAGAGCCAATTTAGCATCGTATATCTTCCATTTGGGCATGACTTTCAGCTAAAGTCTAATATCATTCATTTATTTTAGAATGGATATCAGCAAAAGTTCTATTATTATCGATTTATACGTCTCAAATTTTCTATTTCCTCCTTCCCCCTCTTTTTTTTTTTTTGATTTCTTCTATCATAGATGTCGATTTGAAGGACTTAATAATTAAATTAAAAAATATATTTTAACGGTTATTGAATTATACCAAGTGTTACTACTTAATAATTACATTTAAAATATATCTTAATGGTCATCGAACTTCGTTAGATGTGATTACTTCGTAATCGAATTTAAAAATGTATCTCAATGGTTACTGAACTATGTATCGTGTTACCCATCCATTACTCAAGTGGAAAAATTCATTATGTTCAATAAACGACGTCGACTTGAGTGATGAATATGTAATATGGTGAATGATTCAATGATCATTAAAATATATTTTTAAAGTTCAATTTTGAAGTAGTAACACTTGGTAAAGTTCAATAACTATTCAAATACATTTTTAAGTTCAGATATTAAGTAGAAACACTTAGCAAAATTCAATAATCATTCAACTAATTAACCCCCCAAAAAAAGACTTTTGATTTTGAAGTAACGTTCCGATGAAATAAAAATACTTTGTAATGTAATTCCTACTTTGGCATATATCGTGTTTTTTTTAATCTCGAAATATTTGCTTATGATACCCTTTGATTATTCGAAACTTTCAATTAACAAAAAAAGAAAATAGATTATGAAATATGTATTAACGGATCACAAAATATATAAATTTTAAGAAATTAAAATCTTGTTTGAGCTCCATTTTATTGTAAGAATGCATTTTGCAATAATAGATTATCGGAGAATGTTTGGTTAACAGGTTAAAAAAAAATTGAATTTATGCATAATACTATTTTATTGAAAAATTGATGATCGAAAAAAAGAAAAAAAAATATATTTTGAGAATAAGGACAAGTAGGTAAAATTAAATAATTGGAAATGGCCCACAATCACTCGAGGAGCCATAAACCCAGAGTAACTATAAACTTGCAGATGTACTTCGGTTTAAAACAAAAGCATTTGTTCTCACTGTCAATAATCAAATAACACTCGCAATTTATTTCTATTGAGATCTAGGATATTTGCAGGGAAGAAGAATTTCTTATTTTGTATTTTTCAATTTCAATCTTGTGAATTATTCTTTCAGATCTAACGGTGTTGTTTCACTGAGAGGCGATAAGGATGAGCTCCGTCTTCCGATCGTTATACGTCTTCTTCATTATGTTTCTGTTCCTCGTTTCTTCTACTCTCGGCAAGGTAAGTAATTGTATCTCTGATTTTATTCATACATTCGTTGGTTACTTGTAGATCTTGTGGATATTTTGTCATCCTGGTTATAAAAATTGTTGCTTTTGATAGTTTATGTTTATTTTTGTTGAAATTGATTATTGATGGTCATTGATTGCTGATGTAAATGCGAAGGAAATATGTTTTGATTTCTAACAACTTTGAAACAATAGAAAGATAAAAGCTTTTCACATTAGGTGAATGTGGTTGTTTGTAAAGGCTTCAGATACTTGTTTCATTTTGAACAACAAAAGGTGTTAAAAGAATTTAAAAACTCGAAAAAGAATGGCCATAGGCTATTAGAGGGATCTTTTGTTCCCAAAATGTGAAATTTATTTACGACAATCAAATTGTGTCCTTAAATTGCATTGTTTTTGGCCTTCGCGGATCCCTTATGTATGTGCAATTAGTAATTTATCTAAAAGCTTCTACACATGTTCACAACTTATCTTTTCTTCCATATTCTGTTTCTTTAATTGTTGAGTGATTTTTCATTTTTTATTGATCAAGTATCAAGACAGTTTTTTTACATTGTTTGCATTAATGAGATTCTAGCTCTGTGTGAACCTTCAAAAGTTAGCTTGAGCTCAAGTTTCAAATAAGAGCATATTGTACCTTGACTGTCCAATGCAGTAAGAACTGATCTTGTACAGCCTCATGTATTGTTAATTTCTTTTTCATTTTATGTGCAGTATCAAGCAGATGATCCAATTACTCTATGGGTAAACAAGGTTGGTCCGTATAACAACCCACAAGAGACCTACAACTACTACAGCCTTCCATTTTGTCACCCACCTGGCAATGCTGCTCACAAGTGGGGAGGCCTTGGCGAGGTTCTCGGAGGAAATGAACTTATTGATAGCCAAATTGATATAAAGTTTAAGAGTAATATGTATTAATGCAGTTCATTACTTATATCTTTTCCATCTCTAGAACTTTATCCCTTACTTCTTCCTATTCTTATGGCAGGAAATGCGGAATCGACTACAATTTGTCAGCTTCAACTAGATGCCACTAAGGTTAAACAGTTTATGGATGCAATTGACAATTCATACTGGTTTGAATTTTTTATGGGTACATTCTTCAAGATCTTTGTTATTATTGATTTTATATTGTTGACTAATGATATTAATGTTCTGTTCCAGTTCTTAGAATCATATTTTTTTTACTGTTGCTCCTTTTTAATTGTATTCTTTCTGTGTATACTTTGGCTTGCATGTGGTCAGATGATTTGCCACTCTGGGGTATGTCTTCTATACTTATAGATCTTTTGACTTGTTGAATTATATTCAACGTAGGATTTAACTGCTCATTCTTTGTTTTAAGGTTTTGTTGGGGAGGTGCTTCCTGATAGAAATCGCGACACAAAGCACGTGCTTTGGACACATAAAAATCTTGTAATTGAATACAACAAGAACCAGGTAGGTTTATACGTGTTAATTATCTCTGGAGATTATGCATTGGTATCTTCATTCATTTCTAACTGAAATCTCTGCTTGCAGATTATTCATGTAAATCTCACTCAGGAAAACCCGAAGCCAATTGAAGAGGGGAGAGTGTTGCGCATGACTTATTCTGTCAAATGGATTCCAACAAACATCACTTTTGCACGTCGTTTTGATGTTTACCTGGACTACCCCTTTTTTGAGCACCAGGTACATACTAGTTATTATAACCAGTTTCCTTGGAAATTTATGTCTTCACATGCCAATTGGTCTTATGCTAGGGAGGCTAAGGAAGACTTCTAAGTTTCATTCCATATGTAGGTCAATTTTTTCTCTAAAGATGCTGATAAAGTGGGAAATAAATATTAAAAAAAAAGGAAAGATATTGAAGAAAATAAGATTGTAATCCTTAACCTGCAGTTGCCAAAATCCATGTTCCTATTATTTCTCCAAGTCAGCTCATTGAAGAATTTTTGCTTTACAGATTCACTGGTTCTCAGTTTTTAATTCTTTCATGATGGTGATCTTTCTTACTGGTTTGGTTTCAATGATACTAATGCGCACCCTCCGGAATGACTATGCTAAATATACTCGGGAAGATGATGATCTGGAGACAATGGTAATGTTTTTTGAACTTTGTTTTTGTCTGTCCACATAAAAATATTCACGAGTTTTGTTTACGAAGAAATATTTTGTGCGACTTGGTTCTACACATGCTCGTACTACTAAGTGCATTAATCATCGGATCTCTTAAAGTGGCGCTCTTACTGAAGGAACATAACATCTTTTGAAGCATGCTCACTTTTGAACTTTTCCTGTTTAGGAAAGGGATGTGAATGAAGAATCTGGTTGGAAACTTGTCCATGGTGATGTGTTTCGGCCTCCCGTAAATCTGTCTCTACTTTCAGCTATTGTTGGCACTGGCGCTCAGCTTGCAACTCTTGTTCTGCTCGTCATCATTTTAGCAATTAATGGAATGCTGTATATAGGGTATGCCTGAAACTCTCTGTATGTAATGTGTGACATATTAGTAGGGCTGTAAGATGTAACATCTTTTTAAGCATGCTCACTTTTGAACTTACATGTTTTGGTGTTGTGTGACTCAGGAGAGGAGCAATTGTCACAACCTTCATTGTATGTTATGCTCTTACATCTTTCATTGCTGGTTATGTTAGCGGTGGCATGTATTCCCGCAATGGGGGTGTGTTTCTTCCTCAAACTCGCCCTTCCCTCTCCTCCCCTACCTGTATCCTGTCCTTTTTTAGGTTCTTCATAATCTGTAGAATGGTTTTCCATTGATTCTGTATGAAAAATTGATAATTATCTTTTCTCTGAATTCATCTATATAATGCTTCTCCTAATTCATCTTGTCAGGTAAAAACTGGATAAAATCGATGATCCTCACGGCATCACTTTTCCCTTTAGTGTGCTTTCTTATTGGGTTCATCTTAAACACAGTCGCCATATTTTATGGCTCTCTAGCTGCTATTCCCTTCGGTACAATCGTTGTTGTTCTTGTCATATGGGCTTTCATTTCTTTACCCTTGGCACTTCTTGGTACTGTTGTTGGAAGAAATTGGAGCGGCACTCCAGACAATCCTTGTCGTGTGAAGACAATTCCTCGTCCAATCCCTGAGAAGAAGTGGTATCTCACACCAACTGTTATCTCTCTCATGGGAGGTTTGCTTCCTTTTGGAAGCATTTTTATTGAAATGTATTTCGTGTTCACTTCCTTTTGGAATTACAAGGTAATGAGCATTTTCTTTTTAGAATTCACTCTCTTATGCTCTCAGTTATAGTATAGATTTTACCGAGTGGATCCTCATTCTATGTTCTTGACAGGTATACTATGTATATGGCTTCATGCTACTTGTGGTTGTAATTTTGATCATCGTCACCGTTTGCGTGACGATTGTGGGGACATATTTCTTGCTGAACGCCGAGAATTATCATTGGCAATGGACTTCATTCTTATCTGCTGCTTCCACTGCGCTTTACGTATTCTTCTATTCTATATATTACTATCACGTGAAGACCAAGATGTCGGGCTTCTTCCAGACCAGTTTTTATTTTGGCTACACTTTGATGCTCTGTTTTGGTCTCGGGATATTATGTGGTAAGTTTGCTTCACTTCATCTCACATGATCTACTTTTGTTTGATTCCACTAGTAATGTTGTCTCTATTCTTGTAATTTTCGTGCAAATTCCAGGCGCTATTGGCTATCTCGGCTCCAATTTGTTCGTTAGGAGGATTTACAGAAACATCAAATGTGATTAATATTAGTAACATCAAAGAGAGAACGCTGCAAATCTGCAGACTCAAGAAGAGATGGTGATCTTTCAGTAACACATGAATGGATATCACCACCAATATAGCGAGCTTAACTCCATTGCTTGAGAAATGCATTTTGCCTTTTCCCTCATTAGAATTTTGAAATTTTACTGGCAAAATCTAAGTAGCTTGTAAATCATACATGTTACCAGGATTTCAATGTTGAGTTCAATATTGAACTTTTGGGATGAGTGAAGGATTTAAATTTTGTTCATCTTCTTCAATTTCCTTATGATTTGCCTAGTATTTCAAATTTTTGAACCATGTGAAATTACAGTTTCGTTCTAGGACAATATCAACAATGCAGTTGCATGAGTATCGTTTCACATTTCCTGAGCAAAATTTCAATTCAAGCTCGTAGACTACTGAGAATCGAAACTGTAAAAAAGAGATAGAAATGCGATAAGTAGACCTTCCTGCTACACTAATACCAGATTTAGTTGGCAGTTATCAAAATAGACAGCAATACAACCTCGTACCTATCCAACTCACATCATATCTTTATACGAAGAGTACCATGTTAACAGACTGAATTGAGTAGGTGGCCTAGGTGAACGAGGTGGGAAGTAAGAAACATTAAAGTCACGACATTGAGGAAGGATGAATATGAATTCAGCCTCTTTAATGTTTCACTTTGTACGATGATTTGAGATCTCATTGCTGCTGCTTCCTTAAGCCTTTCTTGACCAGGATCTGGGGAAGTTGTACTCTTTTCACCATTTGTGCCTCTGATTGCAGAATCAGGTACAGAGTCGGCGACTGTGCTGCTCGGTCTGGTGTTGAATCCCTCTTTTGCTCGCCCATCTTCCTTCTCCTTCTTCATTTTCTCAAACATTACCTGCAATTATTTGATGTAAAAATTGCAGTACAATCAGGCGTCCTATTTGGAATTTCTTGTCATGTGATGCTGTTCTTGAAATATGTATTGGGATTATATTTGGGGATATATGCAACTCTAGTAATGTATATCTCCTTCTTGTCACTCTAGCAGTGTATTTCACAAGTTTAAAAATATATATGCTAGTCAACAACTAATTTGCAAATAAGAAAATAAGGTATATATGTACCTCAGTGGCTCGAGGTTCTAAGTAGAGCATATTCACCGTGATCATCAATAATGGTGCTAGAAGATTGAAGCCCTGGAGCATCACTATTCCTTCCATTTTCCTCTCACGACTCATCAAATACCCGACCAACGCCAGACCTACACTATAAGCCATGGCCTTGAAATACACTGGATAAATCTTGTTCTGCACCGTCGCGAACTGCTGCCTAGACAATGCACAAGCCAAAACATAACTCGATACGAAAGTCACCCACACACACATCCCATAAGCTGTGGCAAATCCCAACAAATGTAAATTCCCCATACTCTTCAGCCATAAACTATGTGCCAATACATCAAACATAAATTTCTTCAAGCCCTTTTTCCCCTCTTCTTTAACTTTCTCTTCCACCATTTCTTTTGCTTCTTTCTCCTTTTCTATTGTCGCCTCAATTTTCCTAGACACATCTCTCTCCGCCTCTCCTTTAATTATCTTTGCCGTGTCCATTACAATTTCTCCGCCTCTTCTCACTCCTCCTTTCACTTCATGAGCTTTTTCCTTCACTTTTTCACTCCCAACGTCTTTCACTCTTTCTT